TAGGCTGTCCATACCATGAACAATCAAATGGCTATCTTCAATTTCTGATTAGCGTTCCATATTTTCCAAAAACTTGCACTGAATCTTGGGAATTTCTCGTGACTGCTTCACGATCATGATGTATGCATTTCTTACATCAACCTTTCTCAATCAAACACGTACTCATTTGATAAAATGAATGTCACCATCGAGTTCTGCGCCCAAAATTACCCCCAAAACATGTGTCATATACTGCGAAAGCCAGTTTTGATTTTCGGGGATGCGTATTTACCTGTGTGACCTGACCTTGACCCTGACCTATGCTTGACTGACCCCTAAATGGATCTGACACTCGTGTAGAGCTTACATAAAGGATTGTGCACAGTTCTGGCAGAGCTCATGACGAGAGACGCCCAGCATGAGGTTCTTAAGCCCATGCTACTGAAAGGCCAATTTCAGGTGTTTGACCTGACCTTGACCCGAATCGTAACCTCAAAATTCAACTTCTAATTACTAATCTGAAGGGTCTCGTTGCGTTCTTTCATTTACCGCCTCGTGCGTTTCGCTGCACACATTGGTTCTCGAGTTATAGGCTGGGGGCGTTTAGCGCCCCCCCCCCCAGCAAACGGCGTTTGGCGAAATGCCCCTGCAACTGCGGGGTTAATAATTGAATCAAATGAAAAAACTTGTATGTTCTTACACTACCAACACAGCGCCATGAAGGCATGTTCCACCAACATTGCGTCAAGTGCCATTGGGTCCAATTATTGTTATGAATTGTAGCTCGAGACTTGCCAAATATCCATCTTTAATTGCGCTGTGTTTTGCTCTAACTTACTGGCTCAAGGCCTTTGAAATGATAACGTGAGATATAGATGACGTCCCTATGTTATTTGTTTTGATACGCGATTTTTACGATCGCGTGTCAACGTAAAAGACGATTGAGATATGCAAATAAGACAACACAAAACAAACGACAATAACGATTATATCCCAGACACTAGACAGCTTCCTTTTATCTCTGAAGCACTCTTGAAGCGTCATAAAGCATTTCAGATCAGTTGCGTATTTATTAGACAAATTATAGTCATGGTTTTCTTGAATGCCAAACTAACAAAAATATGCATTTTGAAAAGTTATTATTGGACATTTTCACGACAGTTTACTTGGCAAATGCACCAGAGTTGCTCAAATCTGACTAAATTTTAATGTCATAAGAAAATGCACAGAATCAATAGGCTATAGCATCATTCATGTGTTTTACCTTAAATGGAGTTCAAAAAGGATGTATGTATTCATTTCATTTTTCGTTTTCATCAGCTCCTTTTCTTTTTACAGGGTTGTCAATCGCTAAACCACAGACTTCTCTATAGAGAAGTTTGTGGCTAAACTACATATATGAGAACATATACCTAGGCAAAGTAAATGCAAAGTCATTTAATGGATGACAAAACTGGTCTAATATTTGCGAGTCAAATTTATTTTTAGCTATAATTCAGGCACTTTAACCCAGCGTCAAACACAATAAAAACTATACTGCACTATAGGTTTTTTTTGTAACTGGCCTGATGTCATGACCCTGTTTAAACGGAAACATTCTATCTGGATTTTCAAGATTTTGTCCCTAACGATAATTGTTCTCGATTTGTTTATATTACTACAGGGTGTTTCACTAAAAGTGTCAAAAAGTAAATGCTTATTAAAGATATATAAAATATGCAAATCACGTGGTTGCGCACGTGGCTTTGTTGCAAATTTTTGGACATTTATGCTTTGTCCATTTAAGATATATTTTACACCCATACGGAACGAGGGCAGGAGGCCAAAGTTACTAGTCGTTTTTTCCTTATACAGATCAAGAACAGGCTATTTACACCTCAACAGGAGGGGTGAATTACACGGTGCCATCAGAAACATTGAAACCGTATGCCGACTTTTCAGGAAACGTTTTACTCTCTCACCTCGCTACGTTCCAGATTATAAAAGTTTAAAAGGGCTTCTTAAGAGGTTTAAAAGGGCTCCTTCGGTGCCAGTTCCAGTCCAAAAAAGGCGGGGTCGCCCCCACCTCTCAGCGGAAACCGTTTGAAAGGTCAGGGTCTTTTTTAGGGCTTTTGAAGATAACAAGAAGCTAATTTCAACATCAGAAACAGCCAAGGCCTTACAAGTTATCAAAAACAACCACTGTGACGGCTGTAGCCACCAGGAACTGGCTGGACCAGAAGTTCCTGGGCCGAATAATCAGCTGCCTCACCGCCCGCCCCCATGGCCAGCACGAAGCCCCGATCTGTCACCGCTAGACTTCTGGTTCTGGTCAGTGACTCAGTTATAGCTCTCGCAGAGCTGAGGAAGACTGAAGTCGCATAACTTCGGGAGCTGAAGAGCACAATTCAAGGCTTTGCCGACAGTCTGGACGCTGAATATGAAAACGGACTGTGAGGCACCTCCGGACACGTGCCGAAACGGTGCATCAAAAGAAGGGGCGGATATGTGGAATAGGTTTGAGTGACGGTGATATCGTTGTTATATATTCAAATGTCCAACAATTGCGGATGAAATGATATGCAAATTTCCTTAAAAAACATTGTTCTTATGTGCATTATGACCTTTTACTTTTTGACACTTTTAGTGAAACACCCTGTAGATGCCGGCAGCGCTCGTGCGTTGCCTTGGGCCAGAATTGGAGGATCCATAGCCCAATGAAATGTGCATTATTTTGGAGGCCTTACCTGGGACTACCATTGAACCGATTTTGAGGTTGATAGCTTAAAATTTCTTTGAGTCAGAGGACCTCACGTCAAAACGGTTTTCCGACCCCAGCACGTGCAGCCTGCACCCCTCGCAGACGGTGACCCCCTGGAAACTGGTTCAAGGTGTTACCGATGTGTCCCGCCAGTATGGCTTTGCCCGTGACCTCGGGTTGACCTGTAGCCTTGACAAAAAATTTCGTGCCACCGAAACTTTGAAGGGGAATAGCATGTGCCACGAAGCACCGAGCGAACCGAGGCCAGCACCAAAAGTTTACCTGACCGGAGACGAATCAAACGGTCCGACTTTCGTCCCGATCGGTCCACCCATTTTGACTCCAGGTCCAAAAAAGCTTGGACAAACTCACTCACATACTCAAATACTCACTGACAAACAGGTTCAGCCGAACCTTTTTTCAGCGACTCACCAATGGGAATTTCCGGATGCAAAAGCATGCTATCGCATGCTTTTGATCCTCCAATTCTGGATAACAGTTACAACTTTGAAATGGATTATCTTTTCCTCTGCTTGTATTTTCATGCAGCGCCTATGCTCCAAGTTTCAATGATGCTCGATTTGAAGGGCTAACTATAATGAACATTTTATAAAGCGTCAATCAACGTTACCTGATGACCTGGTTTTAGGTATTTTATGGCTAGCGTTTGCACGTATGTGAAATGCCGCTTGACAATGAATTTCCAGAAACGGGAGCACTAAGCCTCACCGTCTTATGATGCGATAAAAAGCGTCCATTCTTGTAAGCAATGCGCTGACTTTGTTTTTCATCCACCTTTATTCATTGTTTTGTACTTACCACAGAGGTGCCGCTAGTCGCTGACTCATGCGACCTAATGTCTCGGTAACCTTTGTCCGATCCTGTCCAGCATTCGGTCCCGGTCCTGGTCCATGTAGGCTGTCATCTGACGCGAGGTCGTCCGGCGGGCCGCGGGAAGGGGCCGGCCGGGGTGCGGTGCGGCGCCCGCCCGTCTGCCGCTACGCGCCGGCCTGGCTGCGTTTGTGTGTCGCCTCTGTTTATGTACGGCGGGGTGTTTTTACTGGTCAGCGACTGGTGCCGCGCTGTCTGTGTCCGCTGCTCTCTCCTCCCCGGGGAGAGAGGGACGGAGGAGAGGCGGGTGCGCACGTGCCGCTCACCGGATGGGGTCTGATCGGCGCCACCCGGCTTCCGAGGACACCAGACGACACGCTGATAGGCTCCCCGCGCCTGTCATTACCTATGTAGGTGAGAACTGCGGTATGACTTCCGGAATGAGGCTCTCTGCATCATGCATGCTTTGCGTTATTCCTCTGCATGCATATGAATGAGTGCATCAAGCTGAAAGATATTTGCATTCAAATACTTTGTGATCTGCACTAAGCATAAAAATACTCTGGCGGCTTTGCTAATATATGATAGATGTATACCTCAGGGAATATTTATTAGCCAACAAAGCTGTAAACATATCAACTGCTCTGCTCGTACACCTAGCTTCTGCTTGCTTAAGTTTGTAGATGAAGAATTGGGCTTTTGAGAGAGATTGCTGAAAGTCAATGGTTCGCATCAAAATGTTTGACGGAGCATGACGTCACTCTGACCGACTGATGTCATTTCTAGCCGACCTACATATGGCTGTCACAAGGTGTCAAATTGATATAGCGTAAGGATGCTGAAAGTGTTGTGTCGAAACGTTTAGCGGTTTTTAAAATATTCTAAAAAACGGGAGGGGGCTCTGTAGAGTCCTCCTCAGTCAAGCCTTTATTCTTGGCTTAGTGAATTGAAAAATGGAAATAGGCCATTGAGCAAAATGGTACACTAACAGGAAACTCGTTTTCTCTTTTTTTTTTTTTGCTAGATCATTTATTTTCAGAAAGATATGCCTAGGGCTAGGTACACACAAATGTAGGTTTCCTGTCATCTTACAATTTGAGATACGGAAAGTGTTTGCTCGTTACAGCCAACGATCCGACCAGACCGGACCAGACCACTGAATCAATGATCCCTGTGACCGCGAGGTCCGCCTCTGCGACCGGCATCAAACCTTCACAGTATCTGCTGTAAGCGGCGCGACACGGCGGACATATCGAACATTTAAATCGGTCCACCGACAGTGGGACGCCTCGGTGTCCGGCTCTGTGGGCGGCCCTGCCCGGTAATTAAATGTCTCCGGTGGACGCGCACCCAGCGCGGCGCTCATTGGTCCGACGCGGCCGAACGCCGGCCTCCCATTGGCCGACGAGGCCGAGCGCCAAATTGAATATAAGACTGGCCGCAGTCGCGATCGTCCTCTCAGTTTTGTGTGAGCACCGAGCTGATTTGGGTCGGCTGCGGAGCGCAGAGCGTCGTCCCCATCGGGAGCAGCCGTCACCCAGTCACCGACCCCGCCTCTCCAGGTCAGCACGAGCGGCAGCTCCGAAAACACAATCAGTGTTTACGGATAGCAAGCTTTTTACTTTTTAGTTTACCTATATGTGCCAGGCAATGAGGACTAAGTGCAACTACCTACAAATTTAGTTTTGTATTGTTCTGGTTGTTCCTATTGGTTTCCTTTGCCTAAAAAAGTACTTTAAATTTCTGAAGAGATTAAATTTTGTTGCACTTCCATTAATGTGTAATGGTTCAAAGCGTGTCGATTACCTATGGATGGTGGCAGTGAGGTTATGCATATAGCAAACTGGTCAATCGCACACAATTTCGGCGATTTTGCCAAAGCCATAATTTTAGCCGATGGCACTTGTGCATTGTGCGTGCACACCTAATGCATACATGATACCATTCCGAGTCACGCCAGTTAAAGATCCGATTGTATTCATGGGACCAGCGTAACTTGGTCTTTTTCGTAAACATAATTGAATTGTCTTGCGTTCAAAAATGCCCTCTGTAGCATCCCACGTCCGCCAAAGAGTGGAGGGAACAATAACGTTCAAATAAGGAAATCATTATGATCAAAGTCATTAGTCGCAGTACATTGCTACATTTATATAGTGCATTTTTACTACACCAAATAGTGTATGCTTGAATGTTGCAGCAGCAATGGCGGTTGCTACACTATACATCAATGGCGGTTCCTAACAGCGATGCTAGCTGTAAGACATTGGCCAATGACTGAATCAATGTTGTCATTTGGCGCTTACTGCGGAACCCACCGCTGCGCACACTTTATCTTTGATTGCATGTCGATTACTGCGCTCGTATTGGTGCTGTTATGTTCCGCTTCTTACGGTGTGTGTAGTGGTGCGAGTGCTGCCAAAGTAAATAGCCAATAATATGGCATAACATCGCGCTATCGCCCACACCGTAATCAGAGGGCATTTGTTATACCAGCCGAGGACGAGGCGCTATAGCAGTCCACAGTCGTCGAGAAATGTTTTGGGTGGTTCTTCAGGCCACCATAACAGCTCATCGTGCTCGCTGGGTGCACTTGTTCCCGTAAATGAGGCGTAATGGCAGCGTAGTCGCTGACCATCCAATATTCTGAATGGATCGGATGTCAGTAATCAAAAACATAAGAAAAAATCGATCAACATCTTCAAAAACTGGCAAGTCTTATGTATAAAGTAACTCTGCTACTTGACACAAAGTTCAGTTGCTTATATGAACGACATTTTCTTTGAAATCTTTTAAACAATATCATTTTTGGAAGTCATGAAGCTGCAAAGACACAAAACAATCGAGTGAGCACTGCAACATGCCTGTATACTCGCCCATCTCTGTGATGAGAATTATCAGTTTCCTGTGTACGAGGCTGAACCATATTGCAGTGATCCCCATGCAGTGTAAGGATGAGGAGCAGACACTAGAATACCTGTTTGCGCTGTTACACGAGTGTCGTTTCATGCGCAGGGAATTTTGCAGTGAAATGGCAAGAAAGCCAAAAGAAACCGACAGACAGATCGTAATTGGTATTTTTTTTTTTTAGTTCGAACCTTTTCATAGGAAGGATTCACAAGGACGGAGCCACCACTAAGTGAAGCTTGTTGCGGTGACTCTGCCCTCTACCCTCCGATCGCGAAATTCCAGTTCTATGGTAGAATTTAGAGTCCAAAATTTAACGTGCGCACATGGCCACGCACGGTCGGTCCACTCATGGACTTCGCCTGGCTACGGCCTGCCACCAACCGCAACCATACCTGTCAGTAGGCCCATAAATGTCAAGCGCCCGTCGCGCTTCGGACCCGGACTGTTATATTTTAACCGGGAACGCGTTCTCTCACCACGCGGAGTCCAACGCTCTACCGAATGAGCTACGGGACTTATTTGCATATAAAGTCCCGGCTCCCGTCATACCTATCGTTTTTTTTTTCAAATGCAACCATCAGCAGATGCTTCTGAGTTTGAGTTTTGAGTTTTCAGTGCGGGCATTGGGCAGTGGATAGCGATCGTCATTTTCTTGACAGCATTGCTATTCAGAATACAGAATACGAATAGTGAATAGCTATTCATCAGAAGTGCTGCACGTGGAATGAACGCTTCCCCAATGCCCTTAAAAGCATTAACAAATCAGTAAATTTCTATGTCGAGTCGCTCGCCTCTCGTCTCGCGAGCTACGTCTCTCGAGCCACGGGAAAAGCCAGAAGAAATGTGGTGAAATCACCTTACATACGCCTCGCAGCTTTAAAACTTGTTACAAAAACTTACGAGAGTTCGTTTACTTTTTGTCCAAGCTCATCACATAAATATATTAACTTTTAAACGTGTAAATAGTGGATCGGGTATAGCATCCGTATGCCGAGCTTCACCCCATCCGCGGGTGGGTAGCTCTTCCAACCAGAAGGATAAACTTGCTCAAATGAATTCATATTGAAATACTCGATGGTCTGCCTATTCGCCTCACTAACCTCGCCGGTTCAGCAGGACTTTCTCCAAGGTCAACATCGGGTAATCATTGTTGGGTATTTTCCACGCCCTCCATTCCTGCCTTCTGGGTGTCTGACGCAAGCGGGCACGCAGCTTCTTGGCCCCCTCCCCCTCCCCGCTCGGCCTCCCTCCCCTCCCACCAGACTTCACCAGATCCCGCCGGTCGGCTGCGTCTGCCGTCTGTCCGGTCTCTCCTCTATCTAGTCTCCAAGTGGATGAGGTGGGAGACAGAGTCTGGTTCCGGCGCTGGGGCACGTGTCAGGACCCCCCATCTCCACTCCAAGCCGGCCTGGGACCGGTAAACAGGCCTCATGGGTCAGTTCCGCTCGCAGGGCGGCGGACGCGCCGACAGAAAACAGCCTGCTTACCCCGGCCGAGCAGCGCGTTTGTTTTCACTGACCGTTTTTGTCACGTGGAACACGGGTGATGTCATGCTGTTCGGGGTATGAGGTGGCAGCTGCTGTGACAAGGGAAGGGGGAAGCCACGCGACCAGCTCATGCTTGGTGGTGTTGGTAGAAAACCGGCTAACTAGACCCACACGGCACGATGAAGTGAAGAAGTGTCCCAGAAGTGAAGAGGCGGTCTCAGTCTAATAAGAATTGTCGGCCGAATCACAGGGGTCCGGCGAGCGGCTGTCCTTTCAAACAGCTTCTTGTCCTGGGAATGGTCGCTGCGCTGGGGCTGGCATAGGCCCTATTTTCTTACATTCATCCGTCATCAACTATGACAGCCTGCTTTGGCGTCCTACGCTGGGTCTTATGCTTGGGATCTAGCGGCAAAAAGTAACGCACCAGCCACGAACGTTTGTTAAATGTTTTCGGAAGGCCTCCGATGTAGACATTTAATTAATTTATCATCGCCGCATTGGTGATTCATCCAATGGACAGCCTCCAAATGACTGTAGAATAATGAATGTTTGACATTAAATTCAGAGCACATAAAATGCAAGAAAACGATTATTACCTATATGAAGCCATTTCTACACAAAATATTTTTTGTTCCCCTCACGTCGTAAAGGCTTCGGGTGTTGATTCTTTTTATTTCTGCCGCCGCGTTTCTCGACCCGGTGACCTGCAGGGCGCGTCACCCGTCGAAACTGGTTGCTGCTGAGACCGCTGTCTAGGGACCCACCGACGCGATGGCTGCACCTCGCAGACGACCATCACTATGCAAATTCAGGCTCCTGTCCTAGGGTGCAGGGTCTGCCGGCGCACCGCCTGCCAGCACCTGTGAATGGCTTCAGACGCCGCGCGGGACGAGCCGGCGCTACCAATCCCGAAATGGGCCCTGCCAGAGGCGAATGGAAATGGGACGGGCGGGAGCAGCAATCCAAGGCTATCCTGCTCGTGGCCAGAAATTGGCTGAACGGAAATTGTTCAGAGCCCGCAATGCTGTTGTGATTGTGATAGGAGGAGCAAACTTGTTGGTTTTGTTTTACAACGCCGCTTCAATACAACTTGATGTCGTGGTGCAGATGTGAAAGTTACCAGTTCACTGTTAATTTCGTTCCTACCCAGTGTTTGGTCAGCATTCTACATGTTCATAACCCGCGATACAATAGGACCATACGCCTCAGAGGCCATGTTCAACGGCTCGTGGCTCTCCGAATCACCCGCCGCCACGGCTGGACGGCCTCCGATGTCTTCCGGTGCTGGCCGGATGAGAGCCCCTGGTGTCGTCTGTACCCATGGCCCGAAATTCTCTCCCGGCGGAGACTCTGTGTCGCCTCCCGACCCCTCAGACACCGCCCGCGGCGATACGGGCTCTGTGGCCACGGGGTGCCGTCCTTCCACTCCGTTGGACCTTATGGTACTGCTGTGGGCGCCTAAGGTCGGATGGAGCCGTCTTGAGCTGACTGATCTACCAGGACGCTAGTGGGAGTTGAAATGCTGCCCTAAGAAAGTGTTGTTATGCTCACTTCATTGCTCTCATACCTGTCCCGGATTTGGCAGTTATCTGTTGATGTGTGGATAAAATGGGGATTTTTTTATCCGCTACATATTCCCCATCAGAGATGATCTTAGGTTGCATCAGCTTTGATAGTTTGGTAATCGAAAGTAAGGCGAGACGAAGTTCGTTAATTTTTCAACGTCCAGTAAAACATTTATGGTCACTCTGCACCCGAGGACTAAAAATATGATGTCATGACCATGACGTCGAAAGGTCGTTACAACTATGTGGTCCCGCAGTTCCTTGCGATGTAATTTTCATGCAATTACTGGCCGGCTGACCATCCCGAACGCGAATCATTCCTGGCGGAGCAGATGTGCGACAGGTTCGCTGGAAATTGGCCCCGGTCGTCACTGTATTATTCAGCCGCTCCGGTCGGGCCGGAGTGATGGCCACCACTCCGGCGTGTCCATCAAATCAGGGCGCGTCGCTGCGGGGGCATCCATTTGCCCCTGTTGGTGAATCTCTGTTGGGGCGCGGGGACTGCTGCCGTCCCCTGGGACCAATATCACTCACGGATGACCGTGGTGCGTCACCTGGCAAAGGTCAGCGTGCACGAGTAAATATAAGAAACTGATAAGGTCAATGCTGCTCTGCGTTTTGAGAGATGACCTTGTATTGGTTGCACAAAAATGAAAAAAAACTTTGCCGAACGATCACCTCAACTCCAGACGATCAAAAGGCTGACTTAGCTGAGGATTATCGCCGCATCTCAATAGTAATTGAATGTTGCAGAATGCAGAGGTTTCGTCGGTCTTGTGATAATGTCCGCTGTAAAACCGACGTGATTTTGCCTCTCTTTTAATTTTTGTATGCAAAATGTATTAACCATTCAGTACACTGCGACAGTAACACAAATTCATTGCACACGGTGAGCTAGACAGTAACTCATTTCTGTCAGTTTACAGCCGCCGAACGGCCTATTGATTCTGACATATCCAATCGAGTGGATTGGCTAGATGAGACTGTAATCAGTTTGTGGAAACACTCCGCACGCAAATGTATGCAGATGCGCAGCGAAGCCTTTTAATGGCGGAACTCAGTCAATGGATCCGATCAGTGCGGTCCACACAGCCGCAGGACAGGCTCAATGACGCTCAGTGGTGGCTGGCTCCATTCAGCACCGCCACTGCGCGAAATATCGGCTACCTCGCGTGCCGGACAAGAGCTTCAAGTGGCTATACGCCCAGCTGAATGGACACCGCACAAAAGCCCGCCGAGAGCCTTTGCGGAGCAGTATGTTTGTGAGCGACAGATATGTTTGTGGCGGACAGCTAGAAGCGGTGCTTCGCGTGTCTTTCAATCGGCATTGCTCTTCGCGTGTTCTCGGTCCTTTCAGTGAGAAATTGATAGGGAGAAGATGTATGATCTTTTTGCACGGCAGTATCATCCCGAAACATTCAACTGTCACTATGTCGGGGGCGTGATTATCGTCACGCTGGTGACACATTGAGACTATTTGGTCTAAAAACAACAACAAGACATATTCTGATGATGATTGGGTTTTGTAGCGTGTACTCCAAACGTGCTGCCTAAGGGAAACAGCAAAATGATACGAAGTTGCATAAGTATTGCGAGAGACGACAATAACAGAACATGGCGGAAAAACAGATTATGCATGAGATGATTAGTCGCGATCTGCTATTTACCGGTGCCCATTACCCAGCTCCAGTGGTCGTACATATCAGCACGCCTGCCATTTGTCATGGCCCAGTATGGGTCTGTCACCAGCCAATCTTTCTGAGACCGGAAGCACCATCAACCACCCACCCACTGCGCCCTTTCGCTGTGACACTCACAGAGAAATGGTCCGCTGGACACGGGACGGTGAGATCAGGGTATAGTCTTGCTCGTGTGTGTGTGTGGCTGTTGTGCCGGCGCGTCATGCGTGTCATGTTTGTCACCTGTCCCGCCTGTATCAGAAGTGTCATCTATGTCACTGATGTCACTGTGTCCGGTGGGTCGTTTGCCGCGGACGGCGTCAGTGCCCTCACCAGGTAGCCAGCGCTGTGGGCCCGCGATTGATGGGCTTTCACCAGAGGTAAAAGTTTGACGGTGGCAAGATGAGGTAATTTGCGGCAGATACGAGTTATCAGACAGCCCACGCCGCTCTTGAAGGCCGCGGGCACGAGCCACGGCCCCCAGGTGATCAGTATTGATTACAGGCGGTCTGTCCTCGCTTCAGCCCGAGGAGTCCAGCATCGGCGCTTCAGCTTACGCAAAAGAAACGTCTACGGTATCGAAAACATGTCAGCACGGGCATCGCTTAAAGCACTCCGAAAGCGCCTTGAGATGTTCTTGAAAACAAAAATACATAAACATTATTGTCATAATTTTGCCCTAGCTACCTGACTTGTTCTGATTAGTTCTTTTTTGTCTCTCTTTTTCAGAATCATGTGCCGCTCTGCGCTACTGTCCGGCGGTGTGACCGTGTTCCTCGTCGCCCTGGTCCTCTGCACACTGTCACTCTGCTCAGCGGCCAGCCTACAGGTCAACGATGGACTTGAAAGGTAGGTCGCTGCAAATGTATCGATTATAGTATATAGGAGACCGTAAAATGTCTCTTAACGAATTAAATCTTGATTTGTGTTTATGCTTTATTCAGGTCAGGTGCAGGAATATTCCATCGATGTGTTAGCTCCAAATTTGTAAACATCACTTGCTCTTCAGCTGCAGTGTACCCATTGGTCATGCCCATTGCTTTTCTATGATTATTTCTTATTTATTCCGTAGATCAAAAAGCGAAACGTGTGTTGCAAAACAAAAAAAAGCTGATAGGTATTTTCCTCGGAAAAGAAACCATTAAAATGACAGACTCGGTACATCACTGCATATACCCCTGCCAAAATATCCACCACCGTCTTTATTCCATTTCTCCCCTCCATCTCCTTTCCATGCCCGCCGTCCGCCGCGTGCAGCCACGCTCTGCGTCCCGTCGCAAGGTGAGCTTGGTTCGTACCTTGTGGCGACGCTGAGCGGAGATCTCCAATCGTGGCTCCGCCAGCCCCAGGGACCACCTGATGGAGTACCACGCTCCACGCGACCGTGAGAGGCTGGGACACACCGCACAACCATCGTCTCCCACGGGCCGGACTGTGCGGGCTGAAAAGATGACTCGCACAGTTCCGAGCAGTCTGTTCAGGGCATCTAGCCTACCCGGTGAAGGTCAGGTGCTCGTCTTCCGAAACCTGGTCGATAGAATAGGACAGTAAGCAAGGGAACCCATGTGGATTCATTATTGCGGATGGCGATAACTGAAACTCCGCTTGTTCGATCTGGGCGGCGGATGTGTGGAGGATTACCGGGATCGCTTATTTGAAGCTCTGCAGTGAAATTGGCGGCGCTGGCCCACGCCAATAACAGCTCATTCGGGTCGTTTCCGCCCGCGATTGCAGCTATAGAGAGATTATAGGGGAGCGGAACGGTCATTGGGCGTAATAACCATGCCACCGGGCGCCATTTTACATGATAGGCTTTCTGCGTACCGACGAAACAACCTGCCGGCTGAATATTCTGATTTTCATTCATCCAGCCCCCTGCCTGTTTCCCAATATAACGGTAGATGTAAGCTTCGGAAGCCTCCGATGGCTTTGTTGGAAATTGAATCGAGCCGACTTGGATTCGCTCGGCAGCTGAGGCTAAACGTGTGCCTAAGGCTAAACTGGGCATGTAAAGCAGCGTTAGAACTAAGCCGTGATAAATCAGTCACTGCTAAAGGTACGGTCGACGGGGGTCCTATTAATCACTCTTAAAATACAAGCACCTGCGAACCTAACCATAAATCGCTGCAAGTGAGCGCCGAGGAATCCGTTCGTAAGCGCAAATGACTAACCATCATATCCGTATTCAAGCCCTTTGTATCTTTGGGCGAACTGGCTAATTAACACAAACAAAAAGCCACAGACGCATGTAGAGTGTAGACAATCTACAGATTTTCTGTGATTTCCACATGGTCTACATTTTCCAGATCTCCTCGGATTACGCTCCTGACCGGCTTCCCTTTTCGTTTTGTTTCAGGAAGCCCTGGATGGACGCGGTACAGCGAGAACTGCCCAGTGACGCCTACATGACCGAGTTTATCGCCCGGCTGCGAGCGCTCAAAGACGCCGAGGACATCGGGCTTGCACAGTACGATATCATTGATAGCTATTTCCGAGAGCACGTGCCGTTCCTCCACCTCGTCAGCCCGGTGCCGAATAGCGGCAGGCAGGCCCAGCAGGAGTCGCAGCCAGGGTAGGTTCGAATCCAGGCGTCGCCAGGCTTTAGCGCATGCGCCTCGACGCCCAGCCGTGAAGCAGGAGGTTCGACGCGCAGAGGGTGGCAGCTCGAGGCCGAGAAGGAATGCTGCTTCACCGACAGTGGTCGCTTTGTTAGGTTTGAGATTCTCCGAGACTCTGTCGTGTATGGTAAGATGAGAGGCTTTGCATGCCGACAGCTTATACGTGTCTGCCCTAGCTTTCGACGGACGTCAACGAATGACCAGCTATCACTAAAATTACGCCCTATGAAGCGATGTTCTTGTTCTCTGGAAACAGTACCTTTGATCATAGAAATGAATGACAACCGTTTCTGCACAAACATTGACACAGCCTTGGATCCTGCAAAGCGTACAATTAATTTTGGAACCACATTTGAGCTCGGTGAGGTTTCCACATGATTCAATTAGTTTGATGGGCTGATACAAGTAGCTGTGTGCTGTGTGCAGGGCCGTAATATTTTAATTTAGATAGCCCTATTCGCATCGTCTGAACACCAGTCCAGTCCTGCCCTCGGTGTCTGACGCGTCGCACCCACCCCGGCAGGAAGCGCGGACTGGACTTCGGCCTGGGACGCGGCTTCTCCGGCAGCCAGGCGGCGAAGCACATGATGGGACTGGCGGCGGCCAACTTCGCCGGCGGTCCGGGCCGGCGGCGGCGGTCAGCCCCTCTGCCGACGCTCCACTAGACCGCCGGCGCCGCCCCTTCTCGAGCCCTCTCAGTGTGTAGCAATAGCCGCCCAGGGCCGCCGCGCCGCCCCCGCCCCGCCCCGCCCGCTCCGCGCACCGCCCGACCGGCGGAGAGGCACCGCGAGGCACTGCGAGGCGAGAGCCGCTCGAAGCGCGTCGCAGTGAGCCGGCGCCGCGTGCAGGGGCTGGCAGCCGCGGTCAGCGGGGTCGCCGACCAGTGAGGCTGGCGAGGCAGTACGGGCACGGGCGCGCAACCGCGGCCAACGGGGACCTGACCCGAGCTGACCTGACCTCGACTCGCTGCGGCGTGACCTCAACGCAGATGAAGTCGACTAGTGACCTTTAAATTCAAGCAGCTACTCCGGAAAGCTAGCGCGCAACGAAGCTCTCTCCCCTGTCGCGGCCGGATGCGGCGTGCGATTGTTGTACGGTGGTAGACGAGTATACCTATAGGTGCCAAGTCGTGAGGTCGAATAGGCCCGCTGAATATGTGACTATACAAGGGGCAGGGCGGGATGGGGGCTCTGTGGATCTCTGCCTCGTCAACCCCGACGCTTTATTCTTATTTTATTTGACTGTTATGAGTATGTTTTCTTTAAATAAAGTTATTTTGTCCATGCTCTGAATGTGCATACGTTGTGGTGAGATGGAAATAGAATAGAGCAAACGGAACGAGGCGAAACTTCTATACCTAATTTGGTGGTTATCGGATGTCGGTTACCCGCTTTGATGATGCCACTCGGCGTCAGTTGGCTGCTTTTAACCAACCATCGTAACTAGAGAGCTATGGACGTACGTGCAACGTCGCAAAAGGGAAACAGGATTGAGTTTTATTCACGATCGATGGCAACACAAGTCAAATTCCTAAAACCAGACGTTTCGGCCACAGGGTGCCTTCGTCAGTGGACACTAGTGATTAATTGAATTAAAAACACATAGGGTGAATAGGTCAAAAACGCCCCCCTTAAGCGCGAAACCTTCTGACACTCAACCCAACACAGATTACTTAAACCTTTGGGCACCATCATGTAGCTCATTCTTTTTACTACGCTTTGAGACCAAGAAAAGACACCTGCGTGTGGTATTTAACCCCCCAAAAAGGTTTTCGCATACCCTTACAAAAGGGCGTTTTGCCCCATACCCTGGGTAATACGCCCACACCCATGTGCAAAGCGCCCCCACCCCATCCATCAACAGAAAATGATGAACATGGCAGAACTTGACGTCATTCTGACGTCATTTGTGGTCAACCTATCATAGCCTTTGGAATAAAATTTTGTTGCAATGTGTAAAATCGATGCCCGGAGGAGTCCTGAAAGTTTGGTGACGATATCTGCAGTCGTTTAGGATATATCAGCAAAAAAGGGCAGGGAGAGGCCTTTTCGGCCCCGACCTACAGGGCGCTACCCTGCACTCTCACCACCGTGCAAAACGCCCCCCTTTCAGAAAACTGGGGGCGTCTTGCCCCATGCATCGAGTAGGCGTCTTGCCCCATCCACTCCATTTCCGGTCAACAAAATATTGACAAAAAACGCGCCACTAACGCCGCAGCATAATACGTTCAACACAATGACAATAAAACGCAGTTTTGAGTGATGTGCACAATAGCAAGTTTTGTGATATAAAGAGGGCATCAAAATGTTAGGAATCTTCTGTAAAAACAACAAAAACAACACCCAAAACCAACATCAGCACCTACCCACGCTGCTCCTCAAGACGCAGAACCGGAAATAGAGACCTACGTAAACAAGCAGCTGACTGTTCTGAAAGACAGGATAAAACACCTATCCGTCGATAAGAAATACGATTTTTTTAGGGGAGGCGTTTAACCCAGGGGTGCGTCTTCCCCACAGTTACCCTAGTATCAAAAACAATCGGTATACATCGTAAGTCGACACATCGGGCACAGGTTTCGAAATGCATTCTTTGGTTCAACATTAAAAACCTAAATTGAGAACGGCATTCATCACGCTATTGTTCTTGTCGCGTTCTTTTAATATGCTGAAAATTAAATTATATAATGAATGTACCTACAGGTCACAATGTAAATGTCGGAACGTTTAATTCGCTCGCCTTTTCTCAGAGTCTTTCAAAGTTCGCCAATCACCTTTCGTTTAGAAATCGTTTACGTCTTGTTTCCTAGTGCCATCATTGCAGCCGCTTTTGCCCAGGTAAAGAATCCAGGTTTTTCGTTCACTGTATCTTGGAAACAGATGTGAGCTGCTTCCAGAGCTTTTCGCGCCGATTTTGACATGCCTTTTTCAATGACATGAGCACTGTTCCAGTTTGGTAAATTTTGACATTTTTCGATATGAAGGACGAGTGCGTTCGATCTATTGTGGTTCCGGACATCGCGTTTGTGTTCTTTCAGTCGTGTGTCGAGTCCTCTTCCAGTTTCTCCTATGTACGATTTGTTGCATGGGCCCGAGCAAGGAATTTTGTATATCACACTGTTACTATCTTTCTTTTCAGGTCAAATGGATCGAATGTACCGTAAAGTGGGGCTATTTGAGACAGTGGGGCTATTTGAGACAGTATTTAAAATCGCTATAAAATGAAGAGCGTTTGATTTCTATGTGATATTTTTGCTCAGGAAGGTGTGGAATCGAGCAGTAAATCGCCTGAGCAAAAAATAAGCATAAATTTCAAACGGTTTTTATTTTATAACAATTTTAAATACTGTCTCAAATAGCCCCACTGTCTCAAATAGCCCCACCTTACGGTAACGATAGTTTCCGGAAGAAAAGTGGAAAATCTGACTCAGCCGAAGCCTGAAAAGAAAGATAGTAACAGTGTGATATACAAAATTCCTTGCTCGGGCCCATGCAACAAATCGTACATAGGAGAAACTGGAAGAGGACTCGACACACGACTGAAAGAACACAAACGCGATGTCCGGAACCACAATAGATCGAACGCACTCGTCCTTCATATCGAAAAATGTCAAAATTTACCAAACTGGAACAGTGCTCATGTCATTGAAAAAGGCATGTCAAAATCGGTGCGAAAAGCTCTGGAAGCAGCTCACATCTGTTTCCAAGATACAGTGAACGAAAACCCTGGATTCTTTACCTGGGCAAAAGCGGCTGCAATGATGGCACTAGGAAACAAGACGTAAACGATTTCTAAACGAAAGGTGATTGGCGAACTTTGAAAGACTCTGAGAAAAGGCGAGCGAATTAAACGTTCCGACATTTACATTGTGACCTGTAGGTACATTCATTATATAATTTAATTTTCAGCATATTAAAAGAACGCGACAAGAACAATAGCGTGATGAATGCCGTTCTCAATTTAGGTTTTTAATGTTGAACCAAAGAATGCATTTCGAAACCTGTGCCCGATGTGTCGACTTCGAACGATGTATACCGATTGTTTTTGATACTATGTGTTTTTAATTCAATTAATCACTAGTGTCCACTGACGAAGGCACCCTGTGGCCGAAACGTCTGGTTTTAGGAATTTGACTTGTGTTGCCATCGATCGTGAATAAAACTCAATCATGTCTGATCATTTGGAAACAGGATTATGATTACGAGCGAGCGAGCGCAGCGAGCGAAGTGAGTCTTTTCAATATAACGGAAAAATCTCAGTATGAGCGGCCCGGCCCGGCCCGGCCCGGCCCGGCCTGTAACGCTTTTGAGAGGCTTATATCTCAGCAACCGCTGGACCGATTGACCTGCGGTCTTTTTTGTTGGTTAGCCTATCCCTTCTACCCCGTAATTGACTACTTTTAATACATCTCAGTGACCGTCGTAGCACGTGCCACGTGAAAAGTCAAGGGTGTTCAAGCTGTTTTGCAAAAGTAGTGATTTTGAGAGGCTCATATCTCAGCAGCCGCTTGGGCGATTGACTTGCGGTAATTTGTGTAGGGTAGCAGCATCCCTTCTACCCAAAATAGGATACTCTCGATGCATGTAGGTCACCCCCAGTGCACGTGCAAAATCAGGGCCTCGTCTAAGGAATTTTCACTGGGGGGTCAGAGACTGAAGGAGCCAAACCTAGGGTACCCCCAAATCCTGTTTTCTCACCGGATTTAGGCCACTTGTTTTTCGTCACAGCCCTGAGACCATTATTTTTTTAACAAAAAAAAAACAACAAAAAAAGGCAATCTGAGCCGTGTGTGTAGGGGAGGGGAGTGGGGATCGGATGGACTCCCATGGGTTTTCGCGAATAACTCGCGCAAAAAGCGGTCGATCGCGACCAAACTTTCAGTACCCTCGAGTTGATCAATTTTACACCCGTTCTAAAAAAAAATCATGACCCTGACCCAAATGACTTTTGACCTGTGACCTATTTCTCGAGACCATGTTTGGCCGGAATCGCGATTCAGCGCATGTCAGCTCACATTGTCCGCGCGTTTCCAGTCTTTTTGCGATTGTTAACGTCCAAACATGTGAAATGATGTTCTTCCCATGCATTACAGTGGGTGTCAAGGTCACGTGAAGGTTAGGTCAAGGTCATTGACCTTTGATGAACTCGGTTCACTTTTTCGAGTTTTACATGTTTCTTGGGTAGTTTTTGGGGCTGATTTCGAATTTAGCATCCATTTGAACATTTATGAAGTGACATTTATGAAGTATTATGAACATTTAGTGCCTTCGTAACATGTTACGACGCCGACGCCGTCAGTTGTAGTTGATAGCTACTATTGATAGCCGGCAGGACGCCTACTTGTTGACCTAACCTGACCTGACCCAGCCTGGCCTAAATGCATGAAGACATCATTTGTGATCAAAACTAACATGAAATATGTGATCACCAACCCTAAAAAAACATAACAGTTTCACTATATGGAGTTCTAGCAGGTCCCGATTTTCCCGACCTTTGGGTCATTGACCTGACCTGGAAGGTCAGCCAATGACCCAGGACCTTAAAATTGGGTAGTATCGGCTTCCTCTCGTCACGGGCAATACGCTCGTTTTTTTTTCCGCGAAGCTCTAGTTCAATCAGGGGCAAACGGCAGGGGGGTCCAACCGACCCCTCCCCTACACGTTAGACGCTGGCAAACACCGCACACATGCGAGGGTTAACATTAGTGTGTTACCCCCTTACATTGCCCCACCAAACAGTGACAAACATACTTATCCGTGTTGAGCGTTTGATTGAGTGGGGGGGGGGGGGGGCAAACACGAGTTGGGTCACTGGCCAGCTGCCAACTGACAATTTACTTCTTGGCGCTCTTGCAGCTCTGAAAATCACAAAACTCTGGCATTTCCCGTAGCCATGAACAGTTACCTATTGAACAAATTATTGTTTCTCGTTAAATCCATGTAAGACTCCTCACAAAAACGTATTGCAGGGAAGATAATTTTGTTAGAAGTTCACGTTTTGACTGGGGGGGCAAATGCTGGTCACTGGGGGGGCAATCCGCTCGACTGGGTAGGCAATTGCCCCCCCAGTTAACATGTTAGACGAGGCCCTGTGCAAAATACAACAATAAGAGGTGCCAAACTTGTTCCCATTTCAGTAACTCGGTAATTACTGGGGCGATTTCGCTGAAACTTGGCATACAGGTAGGCACCCACCAGGCAATGCATTCCCATGTGTTGCGGTTAGGGTGCTACTGCACGTGCGCACGTGCAGGGGGCGTTTCCAGATCTCGAGAACGGCTGGGCCGATTGCG